GTGCAGTTTGGTTTTTGTTCATGAACTCTCTGCCCACCCCTATGTCTTCAAGGTTTTTACCTACTTTCTCTTCCAACAGATTTAGTGTTTCTGTTTTAATATTGAGATCTATGATCCATTTTGACTTGAGTTTGGTGCATAATGATACACTTGGGTCTATTTTCAGTCTTTGGCAGGTAGCAAGCCAATTTTTCCAGCACCATTTATTAAAGAGGCTATCATTCTTCCAGTGAGTTTGTTTGGCCCCTTTATCAAAGATTAGGTGGGTGAGTGTGTTTTTGGTTGTGGCTGTTTCTTCCAGTCTGTCGCACTGATCCTCAGGTCTGTTTTTTAGCCAGTACCAGGTTGATTTTATTACAGCAGCTTTGTAGTGTAATTTCAGGTTAGGGATTGTGATTCCACCTGACTTGTCCTTGTTGGCCAGGATTGCTTTTGTTATTCTGGGTCTCTTCTGGTTCCAGATGAATTTAAGGCATGTTTTCTCGAGATCTGTGAGGTATGCTAGTGGTAGTATAATTAAGAAATCAGCCAATAACAAATGCTGGCAAGGCTGTGGAGAAATAGGAACTCTTCACTGCTGGTGGAAATGCAGAATGGTGAATGGAAATCAGTTTGGAGAGTCCTCAGCAAACTAGGTCTAGAGGTCCCATTCAACCCAGCTATTCCTCTTGGGTATTTTCCTAGAAGATCTAAAAACATCATATCACAGTGATATATGTGCACCTATGTTCATAGCAGCACAATTTGTAATTGCTAAATTGTGGAAGCAATCCAAATGTCCATCCACTGAGGATTGGAGAAGAAAATGGTGGTACTTTTATATAATGAATATTACTCAGCTATAAAGAAAGATAAACTCAAGGCTTTTATAGGTAAATGGTCACAACTAGAGACCATACTCATAAGTGAAATAAATCAGACCTGCATGTGCAAGCACTGCATTGTCTCACTAGCGTAAAACCTGAAAGAGTTAATTTGAACTAAGAGGTATGATAGACATTGTGAAATGATAGGAAAACGCTCAAGGGTAAAGGGCAACAGGGATGTGGGAAAAGAGAAGGGAAAGAAGGAGAAATTTTGTATGTATGTATATACAGGATAGTTAACATAGTTGATCTACTGTCTTCTATTTCTTTGCTGAAAGAAACTGTTAATGAGTCCTTGATTGATCAGTATTGCATGTCTCTGTTTTCATGAGAAACCACTTTGAAGATAGCAATATGTAATACAACAAGCGTTGTTAATTTCCTACCACTTTGTTTTTAACTCTGTATTGTCTGTACTGTTCTTTTGCTATTTTGTAAAAGGTTGTCAGTCTGTTAATGTTTTCCTCCTTTTATTTTTAAAATTAAAAAAAAGGGGACATGGCAGTCTGGTCTTTAAAATGTCTCGCTGCTTATGGAACTTTTTTTAGCTTTTTTTCTTTGACTTTGTTAAATGTTATTACTATTTGTTGTTTTGTAGTGCACCCTAAGCAAGTGTTCTACTACTGAACTACCTTCCCAGCCCTATAACACAGTTTAAGTCTCTTCCAAGCTCTTCCATTCTCTGGGAGATTTGCATGCTCTACCTATGTCCCCAACATCCCTTCTCTCTCTTTCCCTGTCTTTCTTTTCTTTTCTTTTTCTTTCTGCCTTCCTTTTTTTTCTTTTTTTTTCTCTCTCTCTCTCTGTCTCTCTGTCTCTCTCTGTCTCTCTCTTTCTCTTTCTCTGTCTTTCTCTCTCTCTCTTTCTTTCTCTTTCTCTCTTTTTGCAGTAAGGATTGAACCCATGACCTTCATACTGAGCTACATCCCCAAACGTTTTTAGTTTTTATTTTGAGACAAGTTCTTCCTAAGTCTCTAGGTTGCCCAGACTGGGCCGGAACTTGTGACCCTCCTGCCTCAGCTTCCCACACTGCTGAGGTTCCAGGTGCGCACCATCACCCCAGGATTAACATCCCTTCTTTAGCGGACTTTTTCTTATTGTGTCCAAGGACTCCAAGGTGGGAAAATTATTTGACTTTACATTGTTTTAAAAATGTTGATGGTGCCGAGGCAACAAGTGTATTAGTGTCCCGTTCTCTCACAAAATTGCTAACACTTAATAATTCTTTCTTCTTTTGAAATAAAAAAAAAAATCACAGACAAATCAACATGTTGTAAACATGACATCAGCAACCCCAAACAAAAGACGTTCCTTGTGAAGAACCTGCAACCTGAATCCTTCTATGAGTTTTCCGTCTCTTCCTACACAAGTGCTGGCGAGGGCCCCAATGGAACCTTCACAAAAGTCACAACCCCAGATGGACGCTGTGAGTTTTTCCAGATCAAAACACTGTTAGGAAATTTACAAGAGAAACGTGGCCTTAGGTTTTGTCGACATCACGACTTTTCAAGCTTTTCTCTCCCAACCACTCCTCCTTTCCCCATTTCCCTTGCACTTTTTGTTACACACACATGCACACACACGCCCACACATCTTTTCCCCCTCCTCAGGTCAAATTCATGTTGAAGCTTGCATAGGTATTTGGAGGGTAATAAACCTGTAAAATTATTCTCACTCACAAATCTATTGTTATTTTCTGTGGAGGTAGAAATAATTATTAAAAATCTTCCTCTTCCCTTCTTCAGCCTACATGCTGATGCACATCATACTGCCTATGATGCTGTGTGTCTTGCTCATCGCAGTCGTGTGCTACTGGAAGAGCCAGTGGTAAGTGTGCAAGGAGGGTTTTATCCAAGGAGACAGAAAATCCTGGAAGTGTTTACTAAGATAGAAATGGCACTGAGTAATATGAAAGAAGTGCTAAAAAGGAGAAGGACACAAGAGTCCTAGGTAAGAATATATAATTTGTTTGATAATTCTGATTTCTGCGACAATACTGGAGAAAAGAATAAGCATTTAAAACAGAGTTTGCAAATGTTTTTCAATAGTCATAGCTAGTATCTATATATATCACTGTGTGGTGGTGTTAGAAGTGTTTTCTATGGAATAACGCACTTAATCCTTGTTATAACACTATAAGTACTGCAGTTATCTCCTTTAGCCAAAAAATAAATTAAAGCACGGAAGAGTTAAGAAATTGGCTCAGTAAGGGATAGAGCAAGGATTAGAAGCCAGAAGTCTGACCCCAGGATTCTCATTTTCAGTGACTCCATTAAACTGTGAAATTCAATCTCAATTTCATTGTTTTCCTAGGGTGAAGGAGAAGTGTTACCCTGACATTCCAGATCCCTACAAGAGCAGCATCCTGTCATTAGTAAAGTCCAAGGTAAATGTGGAGAAACTATATCTATACCCGATCCAGGTCTGCACTATATTAGTCATTCTTTCTTAGACCTCTTACTCAGAAAATATAATAAATTATAGCAGGGCGTGGTGGCACACGCCTGTAACCCCAGTACTGGAGAGGCTGAGGCAGGAAGATCATTGCAAGTTTGAGGCCAGCCTGTGCTTCAAGTGATTTCAAGACCGGCCTCAACTGCATAGTGAGACCCTGTCTCAAAAAGACCAAAAAAAAAAAGAAAAGAAAATGTAATAAATTAGAAGCACCCTGCTTCTATAGCCATGAAATAGGTGATGGGAGGGGTTGAATGTGGCTCAGTGCTGGAGTGCTTCTAGCATCTATGAGGCTCAGGGTTCAATTCCAACAGCAAAAAAGAAGAAGGAAGAAGAAATAGGTGATTGGAACTCTGATCTCTTTTGTCAGGGGAAAACTGTCCGGTTTTCAATGTCAGCTCCAAGTTAACTTGTGATAAGGGAGAAGTGTGAATGAAATTGAAGCTTCAAGTGCACTTTGCATACTCAGTATTTTGCTGCATGCACACACACATTGATATTTAAGTATATTTTGTTTCCTTTCCAGGAGAACCCTCACTTAACAGTAATGAACGTCAAAGACTGCATTCCAGACGCTATTGAAGTTATAAACAAATCAGAAGGGACCAAAGTACAATTCACCGGGAAGCCGCTCACAGAAAGTGAATCCCCCAGGCCTGCCAACCTGTACCTGCTGCCAGCAGAGGATTTCTCTGGCCTCGCTCCCTGCATCTCTTTTGAGAATTTCACCTATAATGAGTCAGCTTGTGACTCTGGTTCCTGTGCGCATATCCCAGTACCCACTACAGCCCCGCCATGTCAGCTGGGAATGCTGGCTTCACCTGACAATTCACTAACATCACTAGAAAACACGCACACACATTCCCAAGGGGAAATCCCAGCTGGAGAAATGAATATGAATTATGTGTCCCAGTTGGCTTCCCCCATGTTGGGAGACAAGGATAGTCTTCTGATAAATCCACCAGAACCAGTACTTTGTTCAGAGTATAAAATGCAAATGGCAGTACCCTCACACCTTGCCTCGCCTGTCCTTAGTGAATGACGGCCTCCCCTGAACCCTTTTAGGTCAAGGTGAACGCTGCCATTAATCAGCACAATCCCAGTTTACAGGCTATGTAGACGCCAGAGGGACGCTCTAAGCCCGTGTCCTGGTCCTTACCCCAGCGAACTGTTCCTGTGCAAGTCTGATCTAGAAAAGACCACTAGGGTTTGGCTGGAAAAAAGCCAGAAGCTGTGGAACTTATCCCTGTCTCCTGCAGGCTTCCTTTAGAAACGGGAGGATCATGAGAACATGCTGACCTTGTTGCTGTTTGTTCTGGGTTCATCTTTTATCACAGTAGAACCGAACGGGACATTGAGACAGGCATTAACCACTCACTTTGTAGACCCTGCCTGTACAGGGTGGCTGTCCTAGAAGCTCAGCTTTTAGTAAGAAAATAATTCTATTAACATTTACCCTCATGTTTGCTACCTTAAGGGTAAGACAGTTAGATTATAGGCTTTGATAAAGGCCAAAGAATACTAGAGCATAAATGTGAATTTATTGTATATGACAAAGTTAATAGATGTTTGAGACTAAAACTGATTTTACACTTGCCTTGACATAGTGAGAACATGAAATTCACTGGCCAGTAAAATCAGCTCTTTGGGGTATGCAGACCTAACCTAAAAGGTGAGATGTTTGAATCAGTAAAATCTTTGTAATTCTATGTAGCTTACTACAGTGAAAGGGTTGGCAAAGCACTCCTGTTCAATAGATATCATTTTCCTCCTTCACTTTTGACTACCTCAGAATAGGGAAAAAAAATCGCTTAGTAACCATTCACGTTTTATGGTTCCTTTTTTTTAAGAATTACATGTAATATAAATGACCTGTTTCAATTTAGCTTTCCTTTGGATTCTTTAATAGGTTGTTTGGGTCAAGACAACTCTCATCTTCTACTATGCTAAAATAAATAAAACGAAACTTTATTGTTGACTATAACTTAAACATAACTGTTAAGAAGCTCTATGAAGTGGGAAATCCTGTTAAGTCTGTAGCAATCTTGTCTCCAGTTGGCCCGCGTGACCTGTGCTGCATTCCATCTGGGCTGCCAACCAACCACAGACAGAAAACATTCAGAACCCGTACTGAACATGTATGGAATTTTTTGTTAATACTCAACAACACAGTATAACATTTAGATAGCACCTGCAAGGCATTAGGTGTTAAGATGAGCAAGTGTCTGAGAGGATATACATAAATTACGTATGATACTGTTTTGTGTAAGGGGCATGAGCATCCGCAGGTGTTGTTACCTGCAGAAGGCTTCCATCAGTGCCCCATGGACACTGATGACTTATGTTCAGTGCATCTGGTATATACCTGGTAGTTCCTTTCTCTCCTTCTGTCAGCTAATCCTTTTTTTTTTGTTTTGTTTTTTGTTTTTGTTTTTGTTTTTGTTTTTTTTGTTTTTCTCTGGTACCGGGAACCGAACTCACAACCTTGCGCTTGCCAGGCAGGCGCTTTGCCGCTGAGCTAAATCCCCAGCCCTGTCAGCTAATCCTTAATGTTTGTCCTATCTAAACAAGCACATAAGGGGGTTCCTTTTGTATTGCTGGCTGCTGCAAGGTGGTAGAAATGGCTGCGTAAACCCTTGGCTCTGCTACCAAATGTCGGCACAATGGAAGTATCCACATCTCAAGTGGCTTCAAAATAAACCTACACAAACCAGTGCTGTTCTGTTCAAGATTTTCAACCTTTACCTCACCTATAAGCAAGGCCTTTGCTGAATTTGGTTATGTCCTAACTGTATGAAGTAGTTATACATGCTATGCTTTTCTGTCAATTGTATTATTTGAAAGCTGTACACAGAAATGTTGATGACATTGCTTTGTAAATGTTTTTATGTACACTATTTAAGCACAAACCTTGAAGTTTTTGCTGCTGCAGTAAGCTTCAATTAAAACATTGCACCTTCACATTATTTGTGTACCTACTTAAATGAAAGCCTAATAATTACTCATTATAGCCACTAAATCACCTCATGAACTTAAACTATAAATGTAAATTCCTAGATATACTTCAGACCTCCTAATTAGGCTCAGGACCTAAAATCCAGTACTGTTCTGTTTTTCTTAGCTCCCAAGCATTTAGATTCACAATAAACTTTGACAATACTGGCCTAAATCAAATGAAATCCTTTTGAAATACAGCAGTACACCAATAGTAAATGCTTGGATACACAGCTTTGTGCTTACTATGACCTTTAATTGCAGCTATGAACATTTCTCCCCAATGTTTGCAATAACCAAGTACACTGGCATTTGAAACTCTAGTTTTCAATACTATATGCTCTTGTAGCACTAAGAAGTGCCACTCAGAAACTTTGAAACATACATTTATGTAACAGTAGTACCAGGATTGAAAACACTGGAGAATTTTAAATATATACAAAAGTAGAATAGTCTAATGAAATCTTACATGGTATCATCAGCCCTGACAGCCACCACTTATAGCGGTTTCAGCCCCATTCACTCCCATCTACATTTGCTCTCCCTCCTTACATCATTTTGAATAACCCATATTTCATCTGTAAATATCTCTCTAAATGAACTGTACCTGTTTGTACCATATTTTACCTGTAAAAAATTATAAGGAAAACCAAATTAGTAGTCATTCCCTAGAACTATCATTGCATTTAGGTAGCAGACTGGACTAACACTCATGACCTATAAACATTACATCAGTCTATAGAAAGACCCTCAACTGTGTGCAAAGAAACTCAATCACAGGCTGGAAGCAGGGACCTTTTTACACAACAGAACTACAGAAAACACTTGCTGACATTCTAACACCTAATCCATACTAATTATGGTCAATCTCATTATCTACTGGAATGTGTATTCATAATCAAGTTGAATTAGATTTAGCCAACATCGTTTCCAAGTGCTGTGGAAAAATAAGCTGGCTTCATCTCCAAGAAGTTAGAAAACCTGTGCAACAGATTGCATTAAGTAGAACTTCTAAAACTAGGAGAGACCATGGAAGTCCACAGAACTAGCAGTTAAAATGGTATCTATAGTAAAACAAGCAGGTATATTTAATTTGAAGAACTAAGCACATGTAATTGGTCTAATTTTCTAAGATAAATATTAAGAAAAACAAAGCTTTTAATACTCAGCAGTACTGTATTTTATATGCCAGAGTTTTAAAAACAATTTAAAAGGATAGTTATGACTTTCTCCAAACATCAGGACGATATTAAGTATACTTAATGAGGACAATTAAGTATACTGAATGAGGACGATATTAAGTATACTTTTTAGTTTATTTGGGGCCATTTGTGACTACAGTGGGAGGTCATGGGGAAATAACACACACAGTAAGTGTAAAGGCCAGTGTACCTGAAATAAATCTATTTCTTAGAGACATTTTTTCTTTTAACCATATTCAGTCTCCAGAATTGGTAATTTTGCCTGTGGTATCCTCTTTTGCCACTACATGGCCAGAGGTTAACCTGGTGGTGGGGAACCTGTGGCATGAGTGCCACACTGGGCCGTGTCTCGTTACACATTCTACAAGGTCTGCCGTCACCAATTCAGGCCAGTTGATAAAAGATATTACGTTCTTTCCCCAAAGTCACCACTTCCATATCATCATCATTTACATATTTTTTCTCAAAAATTCAGAGCTGTTCTTTATAAAGTATTTCCATTTTCCTTCCATATCATTATTTACAGACTTTTTCTCAAAAATTCAGAGCTGTTCTTTATAAAGTATTTCCATTTTCCAAACTCTTTACAAATATGACTTCAGATACCAAAACTGTAAAGAGTTTTTATTAAATTAGGAAGAATGTTTAAGAAAGTACAGTGTAACTATTTTAAATATTTAGAATAGTCACTCTGTTACTGAACACCCTGTACGAAAGCCCACTTTTGCTCCGAATCACATGTATCAGCATCAGCAATATGATTTAAAGTCAAGGCCATAAGACCACAGATAGTTTTAAATTTTTAAATAAAATACCATCATCACAAATTTAAGAATTTTAAGTAAATTTTATTAACAATGTATCCCTTTGATAAGATTATGCTTCAGGAGGCTTTTAATGCCCTTGACAAACTGTACACATTATACAAAAACAAGAAAACCACAACAAAAAAAATCAAGGTGAGCAAAACCATTTTGAGACAAATCTTATTTAAATTATACACAACTCAATGAAATATTCTTACAGAAAATATATAAATACTTTTTCTTTCTATGTTACAGTTATACAATATAAATCCAATTTCAATGTGTTCAGTGACCTACAAACACCAGAACCTCCAAATATGTAGCAGCGTATTACTAAATTTAAAAAAAAAAAAAAGAAAATCATGTGGTTAGAGAGCATAAAGTCTTGAGATTTTTTCACAACCCCTTACCACTCTTCAAAACTAATTACATCATCTTTTTTTATAATGCATCTTTAGGGTTTCTGACAGGTCAGTAATGGAACATTTTCCAACAATCATCTATAAAATGTTTTTCACTCCCCTCTCCACCCTAAGACTTTGCATTTTGTGCTAAATCAACCTAGTTAAGTGGCAAAAGTGTAAAATATGCTTACTTTTGGCATAAATTGTATTTTTCAAATTATTTTATAAAGAATGTCAAACAAAATGTGCAATTTTTGCATGCTGTGGCGTAGTTACCACCTACATTACAAAAATACTCCAAAGAGGGGAAAAATCCACATTCTGTTCAGTCTTAAATATATAAACGTTCTATGAATGAAAACTACCCTGGGAACCTGGAAATAAAAAGGGAAGGGGAGTGTGGAGTGGGAGTGGGAGAGGGAGTGGGAGGGAGGGAGGGAGGGAGTAAGGAATGTTCCTAGAAAGAGTCTTACCTATCTCAGTGTTTCTTGATAAGCTCTGCCATTAATCTCACTGGTATGCTTTTTAATGAAACTCTCACTCAGTAACACTCTTGAAATTAAAGATGATAATAATATACATATTTTGTAAATACAAAGAAAGGGAGATCTTTCCCAATTTACATTCTGGAAAATCTGCAATGTTCATTCATTCCGAACAGTCTTTTCACAAATCTCTCAACTAATTCTACCTTTACTTTTTTCATATGTTTTAATGAATTATGAATTTGAGACGAAACTGGAAGCATAGGATTAAAGGGGGGAAAATCCTTACTTCCAAAGAACATTTCCCAAAGTGGCTTAAAAGTTCATCTCACAAAATTAGCACCTCATTCCTACCTTGCAAAAATAAGTGAAGTTATAATTTCAGTAACATACAATTTGGTTTTTATTGCTTAATGATCTGTGTGCTTTAATAAGGGGATAAAAGGCATCCTCTGAATGGAATGAAATAAAATTTTATATAAATAGCAGTAGACAAATCTAAATAAGCACTGACGTCTTACTGTTGAACATTTTGCCATTGTAACATATCCTGAAAAATTCAGCTTTAATTATTTCAAGCTCTAGACCAAAGAGCTGAAAACCCATAGAGCTACCATTTCTACAGGACTTGAACACTTTATAGTAATGTACATACTTCCAAAAAGCCTCTTTCCATGTCACTGCCTTACAGAATGTCCTTATGTTACTGATCTTCAGTAGAAAAAACTAGGGAGCACACACTCCCTCCCTCCAATACACCTAAGCACAAACAAGAAATAAAAGTATAAGAAACTTTAGAGCATATTTAATAATGAATAATAAATTTCTAATTTCCTTACTTAACCGGTATTTACTTAGTACGCGAAGCTGACATTCGTTCTTAAAAAAATTGTTAGAAATGACAATTTAAAGTTAGAAATTCACAGTTTACAGCCAGCATAACCGATCAAATTCCTCCAAATTATTCAATAATTACCAATAGTACAAATTTATATGGACTAAGATTAATTCTAAAATCCTGAAAAACTATAATTTGATATTATTTTGGTGTTCTATATTCTTGGTAGTATCTATTACTTGTAAGTTATTTTTCTCAATT